TGTCTTGATTTTTGGGTAGGGGCCTATGTGGATGTTATGGGTAGATGTTGAGGACCCTTGTGGATAATTGATAGATTTTTCCCCCTTGGTTTAGTATTTTTAGGTATTTTCTGAAGTTGCCTGATGATTTTGTCTGTCCTGTGGTTATCTGTTCATCTCTGGGGTCTATTTTGGGGAGTTTGCTGTGGGGCTTGTGTTATCTTGAAGAGCTTGTTGGAGAGCATGATGAAGAGAAGATTGTAGATCAAGACTCAGAGACCCAGAGCTTGGAGCTTATTCCCTGTCTGTGAGGTTTGAGATCCTGAAGTTTAAAGGGAGTTCATGGTACTTTCCTGAGGAAGGCACTATGAATGACTTTCATTCTTTCTTCTCACCTCCTTATCAAGTATCCAATGATGTTGGAGCCAACTTGTGAGTTTAATTTCTCCTGAGGAGGAATGTAAACTGATCACATGTTGTTGAGCCACATGGGATACAATTCCTAAGTGGAAGCCTCCTAGTACTTTCCTGAGGAAGGTCCTATGGGTCTATTCACTTAGTTCCATTAGTTTATCTAGGATTTCTCAAGTATCCAATGATGTTGGAGCCAACTTGTGAGTTTAATTTCTCCTGAGGAGGAATGTGAACTGATCACATGTTGTTGAGCCACATAGGATACAACCCCTAAGTGGAAGCCTCCTAGTACTTTCCTGAGGAAGGTCCTATGAGTCTATTCACTTAGTTCCACTAGTTCAGATAGGATTTCCTAAGTATCCAGTGATGTTGGAGCCTGCTTGTGAGTTTAGTTTCTCCTGAGGAGAAATGTAAACTGATCACAGTGGTTGAGCCACATAGGATATGACTCCTGAGTATACACCTCCTAGTGCTTTCCTGAGGAAGACACTATGAGTCTGCCTACTTAGCTCCCTTTCTTTGGTAAGCTTGTTCTGAAGCTTGAAGACTGGGATTGATTTCTTTTGTTTAGGTTTTGCTTTAGGGCTTTGCTTAGATTTGATCAGGATTCTGTGTTAGGGTTAGGATTAGAGAGTAGATGATTCTTTCTCAAGTGTGGTTTGTTTGCCTGATGGCACTTCATTTCTTTTATCTGTTCATTGCTTGATAGCATGTTGTTTATCTTCAGTATGATTACTGTTATTTCATGACTGGCTTGAGGTTGAGATGAGCTTGTGGAGGCTGAAGCCCCACACACATTTCCTCCCTCACTTGCATTGCATGCATTTTACTGTTAAAGCTGATGCTTTTGTCTGTTTTGGTGTATCATTGATATGATCCCTTAGGACTCTCATTTCCTCTGATGAGGATTTGATGATAGACTTTTAGGTTGAAACCTATGCATGACAACATCTAGGAGTTCCCTGTTCAAACCTCAACCATAGGATGAATCCATGGCATGACAACAGTAGGACTTGATAGTCTCCCTCCTAGTTGGGCCTGTTCTCTTCTCATCTCGAAGCAGTTTAAGATACAGTAATCATGAATGATTTCTTTCGTACGTTACGAGCCTTAAGCTATCTGAGAAAGGACGCATTCCCTCTCAGGTCATAGTCTCTAGTGCGGTTGAAATCGCAAACACTAAAAAACACTTCTTTCAGGAGATAACCCGTAGTTAGCCGAACTACGTTTGCTCTGATCTTTCATACCAGATGAAAGTACGTAGGCATAGGATGCGATATCCTAGCGAGCAACCTTCCCCATCTTCCCCCGTAGTTAGCCGAACTACGTTGACTCTGATCTTTCATACCAGATGAAAGTACGTAGGCATAAAGCGCGACGCTTTGCCGAGTCATTTTTCTTTTCTTTTTCAGCCAGCCTTGATAGGTAGATAGATTATAACCAACCCGTCCAAGTAAACAAACAAGCGAGGATCCCGTCGAGTACGACGGACGTGAGGGGTGCTAATACCTTCCCCTTGCGTAACCGACTCCCGAACCCAGACAATGGTTGCGATGACCTTGTCTTACCCTTTCTCGTCAGGTTTTTCCGATCGTTTCCTTTCCCGCTCTGAGGGATAAATAACGAAAGGTGGCGACTCTTCTGTCATGCCGGCACCTTATTTTCGCGCAAGCGACAGTAAGCCCTAACAGTCACCTGGGTTTGGCCTGTCAATCCAGCCCAACACAAGTGACCGTTGGCCCAGCGCTGGGGTCTCTCTATAAATACCCTCTTCCACAAGAGGGTCATGTAATTCACTTCTTACCCATTTTCTGTACTTTGCTCTCACTCTGCCCCACTACTTACTTTGACATCAGAGTGTCTTGCAGGTACACCCCCCTTCTCCTCCTCATCACCGGTGAACAGGTAGCAGTCCAACAGAGTGTGGCCAGCCCGTGATCCCCTTCTGATCAGGTCAGATCAGATGTAATATATAATTTTTGGTACCTAATGGAATTGTGTCATTGATGTAATACAATTTTTAGTCTAATTTCTATACAATTCAGAAATATTCATGTTAAAAATTTGGAATACTGTAAAATTGAATACTCCATCCGGTCATTATTATAAAAAAAATATTCTCTTTTCAGATTTATTCAATAACCGACGTATCTGGTCTACATAGAGATTAGATACATTTGTTATTCAATGAATCTAAAAAAAGAATCTTTGCTTATAATAGTGACTAGAGGGAGTATATATTAAAAAAACAAATAATATCAGAATGATTTTCAATTGTTATAAGTAAAGCGCTATTAAGAATAATAAAACACAAGAATGCCATTGTTGGGGTTCGAACCCAGGACCTATAAATTATTTCACAATGCTTGTTTTATTTAGTCGTTGTTATAAGTAGCGCACTACTTAACTTATAATCACAGTCACTCTCTCGTTATAGAAACGAGTATACAAACAATCATACGTTACCTAACAACGGACGTAAAATCGTCATTATATGTGTTTTTCATAGTAGTGACTTCTTCTTTTATTGAACTTATATTCCATATACTCTGTCTCACTCCTGATTAGGTGAAAACCATGTGTTTCTTAAGCTCGTCTCCAAGTCTCCAGCCTCTCACTTAAATGCTCTTCTGACTTTTCATGTAGGACTATATCATCTATTTAAAACATGTATCTTGTTCCTAGCTCTTGGATGTGTTCTGTGAGTACATCCAAAATTAAGGTAAGAAGGTAGGATCTTAGGGTTGAACCTTGATGCAAACCTATTGTAATGGAGAAAATGTTTGTCTCTCCACACTCTGTCTGCATATTAGTCGATGCCCATTCATACATATTTTGGATAACTCAAATATATGCAATCTTGACTCCTTTCTTCTCTAAGGATTTTAATAAAATATCTCTATGGACTTTATAATACACCTTTAGCCAATTAAAGTTAAGTGCAGGTCTTATTGGTCTATCCGATACTGATCCATCAGACATCGTAGTAGATAGATCTCTTTCATGATTGATCTTTCAAGCATAAAATTAAATTGATTCTTTGTGACTTAGTCTCTTTTCTTAGTCTTCGTTTAATCATTCTTTCCCATAATTTCATGGTATGACTCATAAGTTTGATCCTCTTATAATTTGCACAATTTTGTATATCCCACTAGTTCTTATAAATTGAAACTAAAATGTTTTTTCTCTATTCACCTGATATTTTTTTGACTTCATAATTTCATTAAAGAGTTTGGTGAGCCACCAAATACCTTTATTTTAAAGAATTTTCTACATTTCAATTGTTATGCTATATGATCTAATCACCTTATTATTATTCATCATTTTCAATGCTTCATTTACATCTTGTTTTTTAATTCTAACGGTAATAATTATAATTATAGTTCTTTAATGTTAACATATCCTTTATATTTTTTCACAAACCAAACTTGTCTTTTGTATCATTGAATGTGCAATCAAAATATAAATATAAATTCTTTTGTCTTCTATATCATTGAATGTGCAATCAAAATATAAATATAAATTTTTTTGTCTTCTGTATCATTGAATGTGCATTCAAAATATAAATATAAAAATAGTAACAGACTTTTAAGGAATAAGATCTTTATCAAATAAAATTTAGTGAAAATCTCACCGAAGACAATTCATTCAAGTATATACACATACACATATTCTATGCTCTAACATTTAACACGGTTTCACTCGAATCAAATGATTTAGATCTTAATTTCAATTTTACAGATTAATATAATCTCAACCTTATATTTACGATCAAACGTTCCAGATTCGCATATATACATACACACAAATTTAAGTGAAATTACCACATAATCTAAAAAGCATGCAATTTAACCAAACTCAAAGGCCAACTAAAATAATAATTTTTTATTAAACTATACTCATTTTCTAATAAAAAATTCAAATAAAGATAAAGTTTAAATACGAATAAAAAATTAAACTAACTGATACTGTGACTATTTCTGAACACTTGTTGAAGTGTGGGACACGAAGACACGACGCCACATTGAATACGCAAACTGAAATACAAAACAATCTTTCCATTTTTGCATTCTTCATTCACATTGCAACCACCTCTCAGATCAGATCTACAAAAATCTTCACCCTAAATTCCCCTTTTCACTAAACCCTTACACTTTAGGTAATGAATGTTTGGTGTGTTCTTTCTTTTTTTTTTTTGAAATGTTTGTTATGATTTCATTTTCGGACACAATCATGATGTTGTTCAATTTCACTTTCCGTGAGTTTGAAGGCTTAATCGATTTACGTTTTCTATCAAATTAATTAGCGTTTGGTAGGAAAAGTTTCGTTTTTTATTTTAATAGTTTTTTTAAAGTTTGTTTCTCTGTATATATAATGATTCTCTGATCAGTGATCACAATCATAATTGGGATTAAGGGTTTGGGATTGGTTTTTGGTTAGGTTTCATTTTCAGGTTTTGTTCTGTGTTGATTAGATTTGAAGGTGTGTGGTTTTGTTTATGGCATTTTGGTAACTAACTAGTTAGTGTATGTGTGTAGGTATGTATGTATTGAGATTTGATTAATTTTGTAAATTTGTTCAGGGGTTGAATTTCGAAGGTTTCGAGAATGGCGACAAACTCTTCTAATGGAGATCACCAGTTGACAACAAAGCAACCTCCTCAGCCATCTCCGCTGCGTTTTTCCAAATTCTTTCAGGTGAATCATTTTATGCAAATTCATTTATTTTACTGTTGTTGCTTTGTGCATTGTTTTATTTTGACACTGATAATGTTGAATTTGATTCTGACTTGTAAAGCTTAAATTGCTTATTAGAAGATTACTTATTTGTGCTTTTGCGACTTGTGAGATTTCTATTTTTCTTTTATGAATGAATCTATAGTTTTTTTTTTGAGTGTATTGGTATGTAATTATTGCCCGATAACATCATATTGTCTCACAAATTGAGAAGTTTGTGATTGCCAAACCAATGTTGTGGTCATGATCATTCATTATATTTGTTCTTTTTTATTCATGGATTCTCTTAATCGTGGCTTTTCTTATGTCATTCTTACCAGTCCAATATGAGAATTTTGGTCACTGGAGGAGCTGGTTTTATTGGTTCTCACCTAGTTGACAGATTGATGGAAAATGAAAAAAACGAGGTTTGCACGGCTTTTTTCTTCCAGTATCTATATTATTACAGTTTACTAGTGTTACAATGTTTTGGTACATCATTAACACTGTTTTTCTGCTCAGGTAATTGTAGTTGATAACTACTTCACTGGATCTAAAGACAACCTTAAAAAATGGATTGATCATCCTAGATTTGAGCTAATTCGTCATGGTATAATTTCAGCTTTTTTTCTATCACAGTCATCTTCAGCCTGACTATATTGTATATAAGATGAAAATTGAAATTGACGTTGAGATTTGTGTCCTATGGTTGTACACTATATTGTATTTGGGGTGTTTAATTTAGCTTGTTAGTGTTCTTAAAAACTATGGAGCCTGCAACAGATCCATTCATTTCATTTTTTTTTCCTGAGTAGATGTGACAGAACAACTGTTGGTTGAGGTTGATCGGATCTACCATCTTGCTTGCCCTGCTTCTCCGATTTTCTACAAATACAATCCTGTAAAGGTAGGGTTATTATAGTCTGTTTACATGATCGTGTGAACTATCTAAAAGGCTTATTGCTTGTATCCTACTACATTTTCAAAACCCGTTCTTTGTCTCCCTCCTTAAATATATGTACGAATTTAATCATCATCATTATCATGTCCAGTAATTCAGATTGTGTACATTTGTTAATTGGTATCTTGATCTAGTGAACCTTAAAATTATCTAACATTTAAAGGAATAACTTTACAGACAATAAAGACAAATGTTATTGGAACACTGAACATGCTTGGCCTTGCAAAGCGAGTTGGAGCAAGGTTAGGAAGTTTTTGTCTGTTCTTTTTTTAATCTTTCGTTGTTAATCAAACTTATAGTGTCAGTTGATTTTACGAAATTGTAATTTTCTCAGGATTTTGCTTACATCTACTTCAGAAGTATATGGAGACCCTCTAGTGCATCCACAGCCAGAAAGCTATTGGGGAAATGTGAATCCTATTGGTACATACTTATTTTATATGGCATGCCAAATTGGATAATCGAATTTGGCGGTTTTTTCTATTAACTGATTAAATGGATTTACATTATCATTTACTAGTTTTTAAACTTCAAAGCAGTATGTCATTTTCAAAAACATTTTTAATGAACAAACCGTTTTTTCAACTACATACAATGCTAAACATTTGAATATGTGTTATCGATAAATTATGTTCTGATAAGGCCCACGGAATCCAGATGTTTCCAAGCTGTAGCAAAGAACAATCATTTTTTAATATGTCATTTCTTTTGAAGTTTTAGCATCTTGAATCTTGATGACTGAGGTTGACTCGTCACTCACTTGCTTTGCTTTGGGTTATTTTATATTAACAAATTCCTTAAAGCAAAAGAATATGTTTCGCTGATACCGATGGCCTTGAAGATTTTGTGTAATATGAAGAATTTTTTATAACAGGAGTTCGGAGTTGCTATGATGAGGGCAAGCGTGTGGCAGAAACTTTGATGTTTGATTATCATAGGCAGCATGGAATAGGTAATGTCATGTTTTCTTCACCAAACAAGTAACTCATCATTGATGGAGTATATTAACAATTCAATTTTTCATCTTCTGTTAACTAAATATTTCCATATTTTTCACAGAAATTCGCATTGCCAGAATCTTCAACACATATGGTCCACGCATGAATATCGACGATGGACGTGTCGTCAGCAACTTTATTGCTCAAGCAATTCGGTAAGTTCTTAAATGATGTTGTTTCAATATCTTGATTTCGCATACTAGTCACAAGTTCTTTTTGCACCATTTTGAAGCTGGATTCTTAACTGTTGCTTCTCATGTAATCTCGTCTGTTGCAGCGGTGAACCCCTAACTGTCCAACTTCCAGGAACACAAACTCGCAGTTTCTGCTATGTCTCTGACATGGTATATATGAACTGTTACTCCCCGTGTCTTGTTTTCTTGATTTTCATATCAATACTAATCTGTGATTATTATATGTTCGATATCTATTAGGTTGATGGCCTTATTCGTCTCATGGAAGGAGAAAACACCGGTCCAATCAACATAGGAAACCCAGGTTACATTCCAAAACCAGTAATAATGCTGATGTACACTGTGCACTGATTCTTCTGTTGTTCTAATTTGAATTAATTATACCTTATTCTTTCAGGCGAGTTTACTATGACTGAGCTTGCCGAGAATGTGAAGGAGGTCAGTTACGAACCGTTTTAATTCTTTTGGAATGTCACATACCTCTTTTTTTGGTCTGTTGCGGATTCGAACCTGCTGTCTCTGCACAATTATCAATTGAGTATGGAGATTTTAGCGAAACAATTGAAGTTAGTTAATGGTTTGAACATGGTTTTGCAGCTTATTAATCCAGATGTGGAGATAAAGATGGTGGAGAACACTCCAGACGATCCTCGGCAAAGAAAACCAGACATAACAAAAGCAAAGGAATTGCTTGGATGGGAACCAAAGGTCAAGTTGCGAGACGGCCTTCCTCTTATGGAAGAGGATTTCCGTCTGAGGCTCGGGGTTACCAAAAAGAACTAAGTGTTGCCCTTTTACTAAATATATCATGATGGATATTTTGATAATACTTGGAATAAGTTTGTTGCTGTTAGATATTTCACATTGAGCATTATGGTGAGGAATGTTGGAGGTTGCTTGAAATTTTTGTTGCATCTTTTTTACTCTCTACCCCTTTTCTCTTCCCTATTATTTTGTTGTTGATCATGTCTTGGCTCAGAGCAAAGGATAAAAATTGTGTAGGACCAGGAAGGGCCTATTGGTTATATTCTCTAATAGACACAATGTGATTACTTTTTTCTTTTCTTATGTTTGGAAATGTATAATTGGAAAATTTTCTTACACATTAAGAAAATTTCTCTTGTTGGAAATGTATACTTGGAAAATTTTCTTACACATTAAGAAAATTTCTCTTGTTAAAAAATGTATTGAGTCAAATTTATCATTCAATCTTTTCCAAAATAAGTAGACCAGTTCATTAAGAAAATTCTATAAAAGAAAATAAAAACAGTTTTTTTGCTTGTGTTATTATTTTACAAGAAATATATTTTTTCTTAAAAAATTGTTGATTTACAAAATAATATTTAATTAAATGATATGATAAAAAAGATTTAATATTATATTAATTAAAAATGATTGGTTATGGAAAGTTCAAAGTCCATGGAGTATTGATAAAATTTTATAAATTGTTCAACAAATAGATGATGAACGACTCATTGTTTTAGATTCGTGAGTTCAAACAATTGCTTCTAAATGAAGAAATTGATGTTAAGAATTAGGTAAAATGAATTTAAGGTTTTTATCAAACTATAATTCTGTGTATTATAAGAATTTTTATTTAATTGCCCTTTTATTTTTCCTGTATACTTTTAATTATTAGTGAATAATGAAATTAGTCGTAAGTTAGTTATAGTTATAGTTTAACGGAGTTTATTATACTATTCTCCTCATTTAACCTTTTGTCTATTTGGGCTAAGGACCTAAGCCTCCACCTTTATGTTTTAAACATTTTGATAATATTTCTGAATGTTGCATTATTCATTTTTTTTAATCTTTTTATATTTTTTTTTATCATGCAACATGCATTTGACATATCAAAGCTAGGTTTGTACTATCGAGTCACCTATCATTCATTTTTATACTCTATATATATCATTCATGTTTATACTCCATATATTTAATTATTGACGTGAAGAAGTATGTTAAAAGTCTCACATCAGATAATATATGATCCGAATATCTATTTATAAGTCGAGTAAATCTTCACTTTACAAACTAATTTTATAAAGTCAAGTTAAACTCAACCACGGTTCTTGAGATGATATCATACTACTATGATTACTTTGATCTTTCTCTGTCTCTTCAACTCTCGTATGTTGTTTTTTTTTCCAATGGTTGGATAAATTACACAAACCTTATCATCATCTCTACATTATAAACATAAATATCCCTTTTTCTTTTTTCATTTGTGGTCTCTCTCTCTCTCTCTCTCTCTCTCTCTCTCTCTCTCTCTCTCTCTCTCTCTCTCTCTCTCTCTCTCTCTCTCTCTCTCTCTCTCTCTCTCTCTCTCTCTCTCTCTCTCTCTCTCTCTCTCTCTCTCTCTCTCTCTCTCTCTCTCTCTCTCTCTCTCTCTCTCCCTTCCTTTTTCTTTTTTCATTTGTGGTCTCTCTCTCTCTCTCTCTCTCTCTCTCTCTCTCTCTCTCTCTCTCTCTCTCTCTCTCTCTCTCTCTCTCCCTTCCTTTTTCTTTTTTCATTTGTGGTCTCTCTCTCTCTCTCTCTCTCTCTCTCTCTCTCTCTCTCTCTCTCTCTCTCTCTCTCTCTCTCTCTCTCTCTCTCTCTCTCTCTCTCTCTCTCTCTCTCTCTCTCTCTCTCTCTCACACACACACACACACACACACACACACACACACACACACACACACACACACACACACACACACACACACACACTCATATTCACTCTTATCTAAAATCCACTCTTTCTTCTTTCACTCGTCATCACCATCTTCTTAGATGATGAGTTTCACCAAAGAACCTTATTTAACCATCAAACATATCTCTTACAACCACACTTAAAAGTAATTTGTATGTGCTCACCTATCCGGATACTCCAATACAAATATACCTAGTTTTACTTTTAGTCATTTGACACCATCAGTTTGGTCACTTCTTATGAAATTCTAACCCACATTAACAAACATTTTTCCATTAGTTACATATATAATTCTTATAATCTCGTGATACTTGTTTAAAGGCTACCCTTTAAGAATTACATTTTCCATTTCCTTAAATATTTTGACTTCATCCATATGAAAATTTGAGATCCTTTTTTACTTTGGCTCCCCTTTAAGAATTACATTTCCCATTTTCTTAAATATTTTGACCTCATCCATATGAAAATTTGGAATTTCTTTTCTACTTTTTTTATGCTTAGTCATCACTATTATTTAGCTGTTGTTGCAGATGACAATAATAGTTTATGTTTAATTTTTTTAATGAAACAAAAATTTGAAACTTCCAATCTTATTAAATCTTTTATAACCTATGTAAAAAATCAATTTCAAACTTATTTCAAAACCATTAGGTTATATAATGGACCTAAACTCACACTTTAATCTTTTTACACGAATCAGAGTATACATCCTCAGGCCTCATGCATTGATACACCCTAACAAAATGACACTGTGGAAAGAAAGTGCCAAAAAATTTTGGTCCATGTCCTATTCCATATTGTGTTTTTAATTTCTAGATTTCCTTTCAAATTATTGAATTATAAAACAACTTTTACTTTAATTTTTCATAAAATCTCCAATTACACTTATTTTAAATTCTTTGGTTGTTTAGTTTATGCCACTAATTCTAAAAGATGTAGAACTAAGCTTGGCTCCATTCTACAAAATGTATTTACTTAGGCGATAAACTTGGTTTTAAATGACATATTATGTTTGACCTTCAAAATAGAAAAATAATTTTTTTCTAAGAACACTAAAATCTTTGACCATTCTACCTTTATTCCACCTAAATCCAACGACAACACTCCCCTTAAACCTATCCTCATATTACCTAGAAAATAATATTATTTCTCACACTATCAATCCTCCTCCTATTCCTTCACCTATATGCAACAACCATTCCACAACTTCTCCTCACATTCACAACCCATCTCCCCCTTTTACTAGAAAACTCACTAGAGTTTTTAGACCTCCTAACTATTTGCACGATCACCACTACTCTACGATTCAAGATACATATTCTCCCTCTTCCACTTTTACAACTTTTACAGATAAAATTACTTATCTTCAATCTAAATTAATATCTTACTCTAAATTATCTAATTATCAAAAAATATTTAATCTTAAGTTGTTCTCTAAAATTGAGCTCATCTCTTATTCCTTTACCATCCTTGACCTCAATTGACAAGTGTTGCACCCCAAAATTTGACCAACATTTCTTTACCTAGCTTGTGTTGCATCTCATTCACATTAGCATTATCACTTGCATTTCATTGACATGTATGCAGGAGATCAAGAGGTATGATTACCAATTAAGAGCTATACAAGACTATGAAGATGGCCAAGAGGGTTATTCAAGTGTTCAAGGGTTGATACCTTTGTCAGAAAAGTTAAGAGATTCTCAGAGAGATTGGTTGAGACCAAGGTTGTGTGCCTCCTAACTTGAGAGTTGTGGGAGCTCCTCAGATGATTCTGAAGCCATGAATGTGAACTGGAAGCCTTGAGAGAGCTTATGAGATGTCTTGAAAGCCATCATGAAGCCTAGACAGGTCATTGTGCAAGAATAAGAAGATCTAGCCATGAGTGGTATAATTAGGGTTTGACTGGGTCAACCCTAGGTCAACTGATGATTTAGAGAGGTTTGAGACTTAATCCAAGAGCCATGTGATCATGGATTGATGCATTGAGATGCTATAAGGATGATTCCAAGGTCAACTCATCATGATTGAAGAGTTTGAGAAGTTTCAAGCTAGGGTTGCTAAGGTTTGACAGTGTAAAATCCCCTAGTTTGACCCCTATTTTCAAGGCAGTTTAGCTCAAGATGTGATTGTCATCTCATCTTACCCCCAACATGAATGTTGTAGAGCTTGCTCTTAGCTTTAATTTGAGTACTATAAGTCCTTGATAGGATTTATAGAACTCAAGTTGTGACTTTGACAAGTTGCAGGTTATCTGAGGTATGTGAATCTGGGGCCTTGAAAGTCACCCAGCTTTCATCCAACTTTTTCCCAAGAAGGATGATTCCTATGAGCTTTTGGTCAACATGAATGTTGTTCCTCATCTTCTTAGCTTTCTAGAGAGTACTAGAAGTCCTTGATAGGATTTGTAGAACTCAAGTTATGGCTTTGACAAGTCAGGGGACTTTTGGTCATTTGGAGATTACAGGTCATTTCAAGCATAAGGCCATAACTCCTATTTTCAAGCTTCAAATGGAAAAATATTCAACATCAAACTTGCTTAAAATTATGTTTTAAGTCTAGAAAGGAGGTCATGAGATGTTGAAAATGCTTGTAGCAAAAAATGGTAAAAATGACCTAAAATGGAGGCATAAGTTAAATAAGTCCAAGTTGGAAATTGAAATTTCCAAGTTACACATCCAAACCATGGCATATAATAGGTCATTTTGACTCTAAAAAGCATTATAAGAACAATGGTTCAGCCACATTTTTGATTTGAGGATTAGATCATGGACTTGCTTTGGAAAATGCTTGCTTGCATATTAAGGCACAAATGTAAAACACAAGGAAAGGCAAGGTACAAGCTAGTAAAGCATCCCAACATGTCATATATCTCATCTAGGGAGATTTTCAAGTCAGTTACAAGTGCTGCAAGAGGCATAGCATGAGATGATACATGAGATGGATGAATTCAAAAACTCATGACATGAGAATCCCAAATTCTCATTGGATGATTCCAGATGGTTCTAGAGAGGTCCAATGCATTCTATATATGGTTTAGAACTTGCTCATATGCAAGGTTGGTGAGAGATTAGAGAGGAGAGTGAGATAGCCA